GAAAGTATCGCTCAAGCTTGGGGGAGACTTAAGTATATGATGCATACATGCCGCAATCATGAGAACTCAAAAGAAATAATTATGCAAAAATATTTATGCTCGGCTTTCTCATAATGATCAGTCCATACTCGATAATTCTTCGACGGATTCCTTTATGAAGAAGCTATTGAATTCAAATGGGGTCTTCTGGAAAGAATTAAACGCAACTTTGAAGATTGGGAAATCGGCAAAAGTAAGATGTCAGGTATAAATCTTTAGCTTGATTGTGTTAAATCTTTCATGGAAACAAATGCTTTTCATAAGTTTAGTACTAAATATGGGCTTGACTCTGAGATGGTAGCTACCTTCTGTGATTTGCTGCTCATGTTGATCTTCCTAAGGAGAAATGATTTAAATTTCATCCACCTATTGAAGAGAATTGTGAGAAACCTATTATAGCTAAAGATGAAAATTAGGGTTCTCTTTAACTGCTACGTAGAAATAGCTAAAAATAAATTATTTTTTGTAGGAAAGCTAAAATTAAAATTTGACAAGGCAGTACGGGGATCCTTTATGATTTAGTGTTTTTGCTTTTATTTATATTTTTTGATAATATGGCCAAACTTAGATCAATACATTCGATGTTCTCTTCAACTATTGCAATAATTTTCTCATGCATAAAAATAACAATAGGAACACTACTTATGATTTACTCAAATGTTTTCCGATGGTTTTGAAAAGTTATAAATTTGCACTACACTTGTATTATATTTCCTTTCAGCACAAGCTATGTCTATGGGCCAAATCATCTTTTCAACAGTCATTTGACATCAATTGATGGTAGTGGTTTATATGTACCTAGTTTTGGATTCTTGAAAAAAAATATGTACGTAGTTTAAAATTGTAGTGACATATTTAGTTGAGGGAAATTTGAAGTGCTGTTTGGGAACAAAAGTAAGTTCTTGGTTGTTTGTATGGAAATTTTTCTTGGGGGAAAGCTTCTAAAAGAAGTGTTGGTACAACCACCTTTTGAATCACTATCGACGGGAAAGTCACCTTCAACTAAAAAAATATTCCGCATTTTTTAGAGAAAAAATATTCCGCATTAATGAAACTCTGGTGGGCTTGGGGTACACCCGCATGTTCCTAACCATTAAACCACAGATTGGTTCTCAAACCTTCTTCTGGTTCTAGCAGATCTCTGTCTGGTAGGAAATGTTTCATGTGCACATCCGGGCATTTCCAGCAGGGTTTCCTGCTTGTATTCCAACTCGCCTGTCCTTTTTTCCGTCTGCTGTTTCTTTAAAAGAAACGTATCTCCATTATGCTAAGGGATTAAAAAAAATTAGAAGCAGGTACTAGTGTAATCTCTAATCTCCGAGCCGATTAATTAAGCCACGCAGTGATCAATACTCACGGCCAACCTTAGCTCGTCCGCCAGCTTGCTGTGCTCATCAGTTATCACAATCATGTCCTAGAGACGAGTCACGAGATTGCTGGTGTAGCGTCCTGGGCCTCAGTCCAAGCACGCCAGAGCTTGGGGCACGCCAAGGCATGGGCCACGGGTGAACAAGCCCTGTCCAGGAGTTGGCTCCAGGGGCCAGAGCAGGGAGTCCAAGGACGCGCGAAGATGGTGGCGGAGGAGGGGGCGCGGCGAGACCACACCTGGCGACGAGCGTGTGCGCACCCTGAAGACATGCGAACTGATCTGTAGGATGTTCCTCGAGAAGAAGGAACGAGCGAGCTTGCATGAACGAGTGGACAGGCATGCGTGAGGTGACAGTGGTGTTGAGCCAGTGGACGACGGCGTGGTCCGCCATCACCCACTTAGTGTCGTTGGAGCACTGCACCCCTCGGCGTCGATGTGATCATGGAGACCAAACATGTCGATTGCCGTGTCAAAGTGGCGTCGCCACTGCACGTAGTTGCTGGCCAGGAGGTCGAGAGTGCCATGTGCCGGCGGACGTCGATCGTCTGGAGAACCAATGCGGGGAGAGGAGAGGCAGATGGCGCAGTGGCGGTTGGTGTTACGTCGATATGGGAGTAGCCGCGCTGCCGTCCACAGGGGAGCGAGGAGAGTTGGAGGTGTCATCCATAGCGACAGAAGTGGGATCAGTGACCGGAGCAAAAGGATTGGTGAGGTCGGGGGTATTTGTTACCATGAAGAGGAAGGAGATAGGCTATGAGATTCAACACACATCTGATTAGCTCATCGGCAAGGGGCATATATACAATTTACAGAGACCTGAACCTAGAGATCGTGTGCCACTACTCATCAGGTCGTGCGGCAACGACGCACACATGACGCGTACACTCGTGGACATGCATATTTATATACTGGCTGTACAATAATAAAATATTGTTGCATAAGTAGATAATTCCGTGTTAAGATCAATCAAAAAGTATAACATAGGGTATACTTCATTGGCTATTATTTTCTTTGTCTCCACCTATGATCAAATCTTGGCTCCACCGATAAAGGATTTTTTGCATAATTATTTCGCAACAGGACAATATACCAGTATCACAAAAATACTTAGCTTTGAAGAATTTATCCATCTAGCACATGCGTGATTTTGGAACTAACAATAGATTATCCTTACGACGCACGGTTAGCCCAAACAGCTCTGTCATATCAATGTCTTTCCTCTCTACCCCTAACGGTAGTTCCCAGTCAAAATGGCACATCAAGTTTGCCAACATAAGCTCGACGGTTGCGATCCCAAGGTTTATTCCAGGGCATATCCTGCGTCCTGCCCCGAACGGCAAGAGCTTGAAATTATTCCCCTTGAAGTTGACATGCACATCACTGCCTTCGTCTATAAATCTTTCAGGTATGAACTCTCCAGGATCCTCCCAGCAGTTAGAATCTCTACCAATGGCCCATACATTAACCAAGACATGCGTCCCAGCAGGAACCATGTGCCCATCGATGTTGCAGTCAGCCATAGCCAGGTGTGGAGCAAGTAAAGGCGCAACAGGATGAAGTCGGAGTGACTCCTTTATGACTGCTCTTAGGTATGCCATCTTGTTAATGTCAGCTTCACTGACAATTGTCTGTCCCCTGGGTACAATACTCCTTACCTCCTCTTGTAGTTTCCCAATCAAGCGGGGTCTCCTCATGAGTTCAGCCAAGGCGAAATCGAGGGTGTTAGATGACGTTTCTGTTGCACCGAAAAATACATCCTGGGGATATCAACTAATTAGGGTACTACAATATATACATATTTGTTTATTTTTAACCATCATATCTAATTTTGAAGGTACTATTTTTACTTACAAGTAGGAGAGCTTTCACGTGCTCTCTTGTGAGACCATACTCCATCTGAACAGACAATAGAATATCTACGAAATTGCCACCCTTGTGATCAATCTTTGATTTATCCTTGCTCTCATGATGATCGATCACCTTGTCTAGCAGATCATCCCATTTATTTCTCACTCTCTCGGACATTGCACGAACTGTCCTCTTAAGCAGTCCTACCCTAGCTAATGTGGGGAAGAACTCCTCCATGTTGAACGCTCCTAGCAGACGTGAGGTTTCTTTAGTGAGGTCCTGGAACAATGTTCCGTCCATTAAGGAAGAATCCTCCTGACACAATGCGGCATGCCAAGCCATATGTGAATGAGTTGAGCAGCCCGCTCATGTCCACCGCACCACCTACTGTGGCAGCCTCATTAATCTTGGCCAACACCATGCTAACCTAAAATGACATGTGTCATAAAGTATGGAAGTAGCTAACATATATGGAATTGTTAGCAGAGGGCAAAATGTAAGTCAATTTTCTTCATTTCCTTTGTGACGTGGCAAGTTTGTGATAACAAAATAGTGAAAAACACCCTATCATAGGAAATCACAGACTAAAAGGGATGTATCTAATGGTAACATATTGATTTAAAACAAAAATATCTGGCTCGCAATAAAAATGTAAGAAATGTGGAATATCCTAATTAGTGGATGTTGTTTATTCAACAATTAACCATTTTATACAGAAGACCATCTTCTAGGCCCTTGCCTCTCTTTCCTAGATTGTTGCCGGTGTTGTGTAGTATGAGGGTCTCCATATATATCTAATGGATTGGGCAATCTATGGCCTTTAATTCCTCTAGCTATAGCTAGAACCTTCCTGTAGTGTGTGGTTGTAACAATTCACCATCTGCGACAGCTCTCATGCTTTCTGCTCAAACTGTGGCAGTTCTGTTGAACACAAATGCATCTACCCCCTACGGTCCTTATAAACGACACTGTAACATTTGGGTTGATATCCTCTTTACCAACATGTTACCACTATTCAGCATCCCTTTGTATGTATCGATTCTTTTATTGATACCTGGATTGTAACGAGTAGGTTTGATGCGGGTGTGGTGTGTGCGCGCATGTGCACACATACATGTGTGTGGTCGAGGCACAACCATAAAATGGCGCCTTGCCCAACTCATTTTCGTTTTAGTGAAGAAAAGAAACATTTATGCAGAAAATTGGGAACAAATCAGGACAATAAGGAAAATCATAACAAAGTGTAGTAGGCAAGGATCAAACTCAAAATTCAGACCAACTTCAAGAAGACTTACATAGGTCCACTGCCAATTGGGCTGAATTGGTTTCGAGATTTCTTTTTTCAAGATTTCTTATCGGAGTATATTCATAACCACATGATGTAAGATCATTTTTTTTCTTACAAATTAAATATGATGGTAATTTTTATCTCACCTGACGCACTCTGTGCCTTGCCTTGCACATCTCTTGGTTTGAGCAATTTTATTTTTCTATTTTTTTTCTCGTCAACTCATAATGTTCACTTTCCCAATCCACATGTTTCTCCATCATCTAAAATAGAAAGACGACTATTCATTATTCAATTTGAAGGCTTCATATTGTACTTACGTTGGGACTGCGGCTCTGGCCCATTGACAATATTGGCTATGATATTAAACGATTTATATCAAACGGGATGGCTACCGAGAAATCATACTCCCTCTGTTCCATAATGTAGTGCATATATATATTTTGAAAACTCAAACCTCAGCAACTTTGACCAGGTTTATGAAGAAAAATATTTACGTCTAGAATGCCAAACATATATTATTAGATTTACCATAATATGTAGTTTCATATTTTATATATTTGATATTGTAGATATAAATAGTTTTCTCTATCAACTTGGTCAAAGTTTGACTTCAAAAAAAATTATATGCAGTACATTATGTAATGGTGGCAGTACGATCCAAGCCTTGCTTAAAAAGCAAGGTTCCTTGTGGGGGAATCGCCCCATTTGGGTTCAAATCCTAGACTTGTGGACACGGGTGCTCGCTTATTTCTAGAATTTATTTCTGATTTACTTCAGCCTTTCCACCGATATTCTTGTAGTGACGTTCTCAATCTCAAGATGGGGACATCTGCACTGGCCTACGCCGCGCATATGGTCATGCCACCAATAAGGTTCCCATCGTCTGTGGCACTCACGCTGTCGTGGGCATCTGGATAGGGAAGATCACCAAGGGAGGCGACTGACTGATGCATCAGTTAAGCATAGGCATTTCGATGGATGTGAACTTGCTATGATTTTTGCTTGCTGGTAGTTTATGCATCATGCAAAGCGTGGATGTTCTAGTAGTGTAAATGAAATCTGGCTTACATTTCTTTTGTTTTTTCCGGGTTGGGTCCCGCTTGTAAGGTGTGGTCAAGGTGACGTGGCACCGCTAACGAAGAAATCCACGTGGTCAAAACTTCTTGACAAAGTTGAAACCGTCGGGAGGGCCGATTACTGAACCGTATGGTTAGTTTGGGGTGTAGTTTGACTGGTTAGAAAGTTCCGGGTGTAATCCTAAAAGAGTGCCAAGTTGATAGATGTTATGTGGACTTTTCTCTTCAAAGACCTACGAGTTCAGTTTCTCGAAGGTACTTAAAGAGATAAGATTTGCATGTGTGTTCATAAAAATGAGCATGCGTGTGTATTGTAAGCATCTGCGTCCATATTGTATTCTGAAAAACAAACTAATAAATCGTTAAAAGCTTACCTCCTCCATGGCGACGGTGCGGAAAGACTGCACCTTTTTAACACTCAATACGTGGTTCATGAGGAGCTTCTTTGCCCGCCGCCAGTGCTCACCATATGGCGCAAAGGCGACTTCGGATGAGCCATACAAGATGATGTCGGATGCCACTGAGTGGGGCCGCGATGCCAAGGCGTGGTCATGCGTGCGCAGCACCGCCTCTGCGGCACGCGGCGATGACACCACGAGCGCCTGCAGGGCGCCGAGACGGAGGAGCATGAGGCCGTCGCAGCCGTACCTTGCAGCGAGGGCGCGGAGGGAGACGTGCGGGAGAGAGCCGAGAAGGTGCAGGTGCCCGATGATGGGCAGTGCCGGTGGAGAAGGCGGGAGGCGGTTCTCTCGCTGCTCCTCTTTTCCTGTTTTCCCATTCACAGTGAACCAATAATAATGCACAAACAAGAGGAAGAGCGAGAAAAGGAACAGAAACCATGCCCGCGGAAGCATCTCTAGCATCTCTACCATGGGAAATTATTGTCGGAAAAGCAGCGCTTTGTGGAGAGCTGCCGGAAATGGTTCTTCTTAACCAGCTTAGTTTATCATCACAAGCTCGATCAGCTGCTTATAAGCTAGCCAGGCAGAGTAAAAACGACAAAACTAAGCTCCGTGGTGCACAGCACTTGGAGCAATAAGTTAGGTGCAACATACTCCTTCCTTCCCATAATACAAGAACGTTTTTGACACTGGTGTAATGTTAAAAACGTTCTTATATTTTAGGACAAAGAAAGTAGCTTTCATTCCTAAGAAACTGACAGGGCGGTCTTTGACTCTTACCTACGCCCTCACAAAAAATGTGAAAAATACCAACATTATGGGCAAGACAACAGCAACCCAGTCTTTGGTAGACTCGATGGGACTTTTTTCTCCAGGCAATAGCCAACGGAGGCAAAACCTGGAGTAGTTATCACTAGCGATTTCATCACAGATATGATGGTCCCTTAAATAGGTTTTTGGTAGTTTGTTTTAGGAAGCATTGAACCCTTTATCTCAGGTTGAGTTATATATTTTTATGAAAAAGGGTTTTTCCCCGCTTTAGATTATAAAGCAACATCCAACCAATACAACCATCTTGCTGGGGCCGCAGCACAAACAAGCCCAAAAAAAAAGGAGAGAAAGAAAAAAGAAATAAATGCCGATGCCGTCAGCTCAACTAAGCAAAGATGGCCGACATCCGCTGCACCATCCGGAGAAGTACCACCGCCCGCCAATCACTCGGAAGCCTCGCGTACCAAGCAACATATTCATGAAGAAATGCGACGACGACGGCGCTGCTGCCCAGACAAGTCTTGGGGTTTCCTCCGGTACGCGGATGACAGTGGGGAAGGGGTATCATCGCCGCCCCTCGGGTCCGGCAACGCCCACGGTCGCAGCCACACCGGTGGCGAACAAGCCGCCAGAGATTTCTCCCGCCCCGAAACCACCGCCATCACCCCAGATAAACGGAAGCGCACCGCCCAACAGGCCGCCCACCAGCCTGTGCCACCACGGGTAACGCACCATCTTCATCGTCTCAATGAGGCCACCAACACGAGACCTGGAGGTAGGACGAGAAGATACCGGGCTCGGTGGCAACCGCAACGCAGCCGACAGGAGGGAACAACCTCCACCGCCGCCGCGGAGCCAACCGGACATAGCGATAGGGACTTGCCAGGCCACCATCGGCCTGGCCGGACCCCAACAGATCCAGACAGTCCCTGCAGCCACGCTGCAGCATGCCGGCCGCCGAAGCCATCACCATCGCATCCACGGCCGCCTCGCCTCACCTTCAGGGAGCTACGTCGTCGCGCCCCGGCCCGCAGGCGCGCCCCAGCCCAGATGGGGCCCTAAAGGGACCAGATCTGGGCCGATCAGGCGCCCGCCGGACAGCCGCCCCGCATCCAACGGCCACGCCGCCGCGTCATATATTTATACTCTGATCAAAACCTTAGGTACGTTAAATGGAAAGGTTTACAATTCTTGGAAATCTAGCTGGGTACAGTTAATACCCTAACCGACTCAAAGATTACATAACCCTTGTTACAATTAAATTCTAACGGCCTCCTTAATCACAACTTCGGTAAGCTGGGGTTACATTCAAATTTCCCTAATGTCTTGACTAGTAATGCCTTCATTAAGCCTTCCTCAACTTGATCTTGTTGGGGAACGTTGCAGAAAATTAAAATTTTTCCTACGGTTTCACCAAGATCCATCTATGAGTTCATCTAAGCAACGAGTCATGGGAGAGAGATTGCATCTACATACCACTTTGTAGATCCCGCGGAAGCGTTCAAAAGAACGGGGTTGAAGTAGTCGTTCTCGTCGTGATCCTATCACCGGAGATCCTAGCGCCGAACGGACGGCACCTCCGCGTTCAACACACGTACGGTCAGCGTAACGTCTCCTCCATCTTGATCCAGCAAGGGGGAAGGAGAGGTTGATGATGATGGCTCCAGCAGCAGCACTCCGGCAGGGCTTCGCCAAGCACGTGACGGAGGAGGAAGAGGTGTAGCAGGGGGAGGGGGCGCCAGGACTTCAGGGTGCGGCTGCCCCCTTCCCCCCTCCCTTTATATAGGCCCCCAGAGGGGGCGCCGGCCCTGGGAGATCTAATCTCCCAAGGGGGCGGCGGCCAAGGGGGTGGAGTGCCCCCCAAGGCAAGTGGGCCCCCCCACCCTAGGGTTTCAACCCTAGGCGCAGGGGGTGGGCCTAGGGGGGCGCACCAGCCCACTAAGGGCTGGTTCCCCTCCCCACTTCGGCCCTTGGAGCCCTCCGGGATGGGTGGCCCCACCCGGTGGACCCCCGGGACCCTTCCGGTGGTCCCGGTACAATACCGGGTGACCCCGAAACTTTCCCGATGGCCGAAATACCACTTCCTATATAGTTTTCTTTACCTCCGGACCATTCCGGAACTCCTCGTGACGTCCGGGATCTCATCCGGGACTCCGAACAACATTCGGTATGCTGCATACTCATATTCATACAACCCTAGCGTCACCGAACCTTAAGTGTGTAGACCCTACGGGTTCAGGAGACACGTAGACATGACCGAGACGGCTCTCGGGCAATAACCAACAGCGGGATCTGGATACCCATGTTGGTTCCCACATGCTCCTCGATGATCTCATCGGATGAACCACGATGTCGAGGATTCGAACAACCCCGTATACAATTCCCTTTGTCAATCGGTACGTTACATGCCCGAGACTCGATCGTCGGTATCCCAATACCTCGTTCAGTCTCGTTACCGGCAAGTCACTTTACTCGTACCGTAATGCATGATCCCGTGACCAAACACTTGGTCACTTTGAGCTCATTATGATGATGCATTACCGAGTGGGCCCAGAGATACCTCTCCGTCATACGGAGTGACAAATCCCAGTCTCGATCCGTGTCAACCCAACAGACACTTTCGGAGATACCTGTAGTGCACCTTTATAGTCACCCAGTTACGTTGTGACGTTTGGTACACCCAAAGCACTCTTACGGTATCCGGGAGTTACACGATCTCATGGTCTAAGGAAGAGATACTTGACATTGAAAAAGCTCTAGCAAAACGAACTACACGATCTTGTGCTATGCTTAGGATTGGGTCTTGTCCATCACATCATTCTCCTAATGATGTGATCCCGTTGTCAATGACATCTAATGTCCATAGTCAGGAAACCATGACTATCTGTTGACCAACGAGCTAGTCAACTAGAGGCTCACTAGGGACATGTTATGGTCTATGTATTCACACGTGTATTACGATTTCCGTATAATACAGTTATAGCATGAATAAAAGACAATTATCATGAACAAGGAAATATAATAATAATCCTTTTATTATTGCCTCTAGGGCATATTTCCAACAGTCTCCCACTTGCACTAGAGTCAATAATCTAATTACATTGTGATGAATCGAACACCCATAGAGTTCTGGTGTTGATCATGTTTTGCTCGCGAGAGAGGATTAGTCAACGGATCTGCGACATTTAGATCCGTATGTACTTTGCAAATATCTATGTCTCCATTTTGAACATTTTCACGGATGGAGTTGAAACGACGCTTGATGTGCCTGGTCTTCTTGTGAAACCTGGGCTCCTTGGCAAGGGCAATAGCTCCAGTGTTGTTACAGAAGAGTTTGATCGGCCCCGACGCATTGGGTATGACTCCTAGGTCGGTGATAAACTCCTTCACCCATATTGCTTCATGCGCTGCCTCCGAGGCTGCCATGTACTCCGCTTCACATGTAGATCCTGCCACGACGCTCTGCTTGCAGCTGCACCAGCTTACTGCTCCACCATTCAACATATACACGTATCCGGTTTGTGACTTAGAGTCATCCAGATCTGTGTCGAAGCTAGCGTCGATGTAACCCTTTACGACGAGCTCTTCGTCACCTCCATAAACGAGAAACATGTCCTTCATCCTTTTCAGGTACTTTAGGATATTCTTGACCGCTGTCCAGTGTTCCTTGCCGGGATTACTCTGGTACCTTCCTACCAAACTTACGGCAAGGTTTACATCAGGTCTGGTACACAGCTTGGCATACATAATAGATCCTATGGCTGAGGCATAGGGGATGACGCTCATCTCTTCTTTATCTTTTGCCGTGGTCGGGCATTGAGCCGAGCTCAATCTCATACCTTGCAGTACAGGCAAGAACCCTTTCTTGGACTGATCCATTTTGAACTTCTTCAAAATCTTATCAAGGTATGTGCTTTGTGAAAGACCTATGAGGCGTCTCGATCTATCCCTATAGATCTTGATGACTAATATATAAGCAGCTTCTCCAAGGTCCTTCATTGAAAAACACTTATTCAAGTAGGCCTTATTGCTGTCCAAGAATTCTATATCATTTCCCATCAAAAGTATGTCATCTACATATAATATGAGAAATGCTACAGAGCTCCCACTCACTTTCTTGTAAACGCAGGCTTCTCCATAAGTCTGCGTAAACCCAAACGCTTTGATCATCTCATCAAAGCGAATGTTCCAACTCCGAGATGCTTGCACCAGTCCATAAATGGATCGCTGGAGCTTGCATACTTTGTTAGCATTCTTAGGATCGACAAAACCCTCCGGCTGCATCATATACAGTTCTTCCTTAAGATGCCCGTTAAGGAATGCCGTTTTGATGTTCATATGCCATATCTCATAATCATAGTATGCGGCAATTGCTAACATGATTCGGACGGACTTAAGCTTCGCTACGGGAGAGAAAGTCTCATCGTAGTCAATCCCTTGAACTTGCCGATAACCCTTAGCGACAATCGAGCTTTATAGATGGTGACATTACCATCCGCGTCCGTCTTCTTCTTAAAGATCCATTTGTTTTCTATCGCTCGCCGATCATCGGGCAAGTCAGTCAAAGTCCATACTTTGTTTTCATACATGGATTCTATCTCGGATTTCATGGCTTCTAGCCATTTGTTGGAATCTGGGCCCGCCATTGCTTCTTCATAGTTCGAAGGTTCACCGTTGTCTAACAACATGATTTCTAGGAC